AAAGTGAAGTGAGCAGAATCAGGAGAACGTTGTGGACAGTAACAATATTGTACAATGATCAACTCTGAATGATTTAGCTGTTCTCAACAATACAATGATCTAAGACAATTTCAAAGTACTTATGATGAAAAATGCTATCCACCTTCAGAGAAAGAACTGATAGAGTGTGAATGCTGATCAAAGCATTTTTTTACTTTATTTTTCTTTGGGGTTTTTTTGGTCTGTGTTTTCATTCATAACACGACCAATATGGAAATATGTTTTGCATGACTACACATGTATAACCTATATCAAATTGCTTGCTTTCTCTAGGCAGTGAAGGAGAAAATTTGGAACTCAAAATGTGAAAAAACTGCTTTTACATCTAATTGGAAATAAATATTTTTAAAAAGAAAATAAAAAACAATACTTCATAACCGACTAAGCAGAGTGCCCATTAACCTTTTCTGGCCTCATGGAATTTGAGAGTTAGAAGGGCTCTCAGCAGCCATTTAGTCCAACTTATACTAGAAGGGAACCCCCCACTCTCAAGTGGTCATCCAACTTCTGCCTGATGACTTCAAGGAGAAGGAACCTAGCATTCCAATTTTTTCCATTAATTTCTAAGGTCACTTCTTTTTTTTATTTGTTTGTTTCAAATATTTTTTTCAATTAGCAAAAATCTGCCTTCTTACACTTCCACCCAACTGAAAGCAAAAGAAAAAAGTCTGTTACAAACGTGTAATTAAGCAAAACATATAATCACATAGGCCATATCCAAAATAAAATTGTCTCTTTCTGCCCTCTGAGTCCTTCACTTCTCTATCAGCAAGTAGTTAACATACGCCATCATTAGTCCTCTGGAATCATAGTCAGTAATTATGCCAATAAGAATTCCTAATTCTCTCAAAGTTGTCCCTACCATATTGCTATCAATGCACTAATTGTTCTAGTTCTTTTCACTTCACTCTGCATCAAAAGTGTGTCTAATTCTTAGCAAGTTTCTCTGAAACCATTATCATCATCATTTTTTATATCCCATCACATTTATATGCTAAGGCCACTTCTTAACAGCAAAGTTATACAGTCAGAAGAGCACCAGCTATAGAATCAAAGGCCCTGGGCTTAAATCCTATCTCTAACACTCACTCCCTGTGTCACTTTGGGCAAGTCTCTAAACCACCTCAAACCTCAGTTTCTCCTTCTGTAAAATGAGGGGGTTGAGTAGATGGCCTCTGAGATCCTTCTTGCTCTACACCTGTGGTCCTCTGACATGTTCAAAGAAAAGAGATTTCTCTATATAGCCATCCAAATGAATCTTTTTGCCTTCAAAATTTCCACTTTATATATGACCCTGAACTTCCAAGATACTCCCTGATAAAAAGTCTCAACAAAGAATAATCCAAAGAAGGAGGCAGAGAAAAATGGAAGCTGGGGAACAAAACCGATGAAGCCTAAGTAAATCCAGTTCTACTCTATCCAAACAACCTCTCAATCAGGGCACCTGACAACTATCTCCATCTAGGGGACACAAAAGAGAAAGAAGAAACTAGTGGCATTCTTTCTGAAAAGGGACAAAGGAAAAGATAATGAAAGCTATCAAGAATCTTACAAGTAATTTGAGGGGACTGAATGAGAGGGAATAAAGACCAATCTAAAGAAAATATAGGAAAGCAAACACATCGGTGGACAAAGGGTGAGTGGAGGAAGTCAAAGACACAGTACAAGTGAATAAACTAGAAGCAATGTGGAAAGGAAAAGATGTGATAACAAAAACACTAATTAAAGTAGAGATGGAGGAAGGGAGGAAGAGAGAAGAACAAGGAAGGAATTAGGCTTTGAAAAGCCTGTCTCCCTGTTTCTAGGGGGGACAGAAATCAGTATCTATAGGAGACAGAGGTAAAAACATAATCATCAACCAGAGCAAGGCAATAGCTTTTTTTTTTTTTGCTACAACATATGATTTCACTGATACAGGGAACTCTCAATGAAAAAACTCCCTCAACCAATGTAAACCGAAAGTGGCATAAAACAGCCTTGATACTCAGTAGCAACATTACCCTGGGGCAAATCACCTAAACTCTTGTACCTTAATCTCTATCTTTCCTTATCTTTAAAATGAAGAGAGTTGGATAAGATTACCTAAGGTCTCTTTCTGTCCTAGAAGCCTAGATCTTACACTTCACAGTTAAGTTAACCATGTAAAGATGGGCCCCTTACTAGCATTAGAGTGAAATTTCAGTGTATGATGGCTCTAGTTAAGCAGAGAAGCTAAGGCATAAAGATGTACTTTTTAAGGGTAGCTCTGTAGAAATACACCCACTTTTGTTTTGCTTTGCCAAACTTGGATTTTAAAAGTGATAAAGTATAGATGCATATAGTTACAATAATAAAAATGTAATTGCTAGAAAAAAAATTGTATCTGATCCATTGGAGGAATTTATTACCAATGGATGCAATGGTGTAAGTTATTGCATAGGGAAAATGGGAGTCAATGATTGAAATATATCAGAGGCTGGGCACCCATGCAAATGACCTGATGATTTACCTGTGCACCAAAAGTAGGGGGGAAATAGATTAAAGATAAATCAAGGCTTGTGGTGAATGGAAAGAAGATTTATGAGCAAATGAATTTAGGAGTCAGAGAGTGGCATAGTCAGACATCTTAGCAATTACTCTGAAGATTAAAATGTAATTTTGACTTTGAGTCATACATTGAGGTGATAAGTAACCTCTCCAGAGGAAATCTAAGGGATCAAATGTAATGTGAGACCTCAGTAACCCCCACAAAGAGTAAGTTGGAAGATTAATGATGGGGAAAGCTGTGAATTTTCAAAGAAACAGAGATGTGTGTTTGATAATAATTTTATCTGAAGGCAATATTAAATTTAAGTTTTTGCAGTTCTTAATATCAGCAGTAATAAAAAAAAAATGGAGACCATTATTCAATTCAACAACAAGAATTCATTGAATAACTACTGTGTGCCAGGTGATTTGTTAGGCACTGGGGATGCAAAGACAAAAATGAAACCATCCCTGCCCTCAAGGGTTAGAGTAGACAACATTTATACATGTAAGTGAAGAGTTAAAGTGGTATAGTAGATGGGACACAAGGTTTGGAGTCAGGACAAGCTGGGTTCAAATCCTGGCTCGGACACTTATTAGCTGTACGACCCTGGGCAAGTCACTGAACTTCCCTTGTCTACAAAATGAGGGGGTTGGACAAAGTGCCCTATAAGGTCCTTTCCAGATCTAAATCTATTCTATATTCTGATATATGGACCTATCTTCCCCCATTAGAATGTAGACTCCGTGGCAATAGGGACTGTTCCATTCATTATACTTTAGACATTACATATACATACATAGTATATATCCACAGTATCTGGCAAATAATAAGCACTTACTAGATGTTTGTCGATTGACTGATCCCATGAAGTATGAGATGACCTTAAACCACACAGACCAAATCATAAATTTTCACTGTGCTAAAGAAGTAAGTATTCAGTGGTGAATAATCACTTGGAAAGGGTTCAGCCTCACTATTAACCAAAGCAATATAAATGTGAACTACGTTGAGGTATCACCTCACACTCACCAAATTGGAAGAAATAAATTAAAGCAACAATTCAATGCAGGCAGGGTTATGGAGAAATAGGCACACTCTTTATTGCTGATCGGACTGAAAAGTCAGAATCTTTTTGTAAAACAATTCTGACAGCACAGCACCAAGTAAAGGTTGCAAAGATCATCGTATTATGCCACCAAATAATTCCATTGTTAGGACTATACTCCTTGAATGCACCAAGATCTATGATGAAAGAAATGTCTATCTGTTCAAAGACCTTATTTTATGCCAGACTTATTTATGATTGCAAAAATAAAAATCTAAATCCAGTGATCTTTTTTCAACATCACGATAGGAGAGCTGTCCAGAGGCAAGTGGAAATTAGAGCGGAAGAGAATGGCCATTGGGGAGAGTGAGTATCAGCTCTAGTGGGAAAGCAGGGAATGTCTTAGGATGGTAAAGGGTCTCAAGCTCACAGCATATAGTAATCTATTAAAACAACTGGAGCTGTTTAGCCTGGAGAAAACCTGGTGGGGGGAGGGACATGATGGTTATCTTTCAGTATATAAAGTGTGGTCATGTGGAATAGACTTTATATTGGCTCCATTTGGCCACAGAGGACAAAACCTGGAGAAATGACAGGGTAGAGGGAAAGGGGTGGGGTGGAGAAGGGGAGTTGCAAAGAGGCAAACTTAATCTTTTTAAGTCTTCCTAACATTATAATTGTCCCAAAGAGGAATGAACTGCCTCAAGAGGAGGTGAGTTCTCCCTCTTTGGAAGCCTTCAAGCCAAGGTAGGATGACCGCCTATTGGGTATATCATAGTGAGTATTCCATTCTGGTATGGGCTGAACTAGATGGCTGCTGAGTTCCCTTCCCTTCTGTGGTTCTGTGAATCCCTGGGGAGCTCTGGTGACAGAAGGGAGGCACCCTGAGGGCTAGGAAGAGAGAGTAAGGCTTTGCTATTAACCCCAGGGAAGCTCTGTGGTCCCACAGGAGGAATTCCCCCAGCCCACATTACCACATGGGGTGATCTCCAGTGGTTCTGTTATGATTCTAGCTCTGATCACAAAAATACATGGGCAGCCCATGTGCTGCACTGCTAGGTTCCCTTAAAATAGCATGTGTGGAACCTCTGTAGAATACTGATGGAAAGATATGGACAACAGTTATATAGGAAAAGAAAGCAAATTTGTGTGGCTTTCTGAACTTTAGCATGACCTACCGACATAGATGAGACCACAGACCCATTAAAGTATTGATACAAATACTTTCAAATAAAATGGCATTCCTTAAAATACAGTATAGCCTCAAAGGTAGAGGATGGCTTCAGATGGTGTATTCACATACATAAGTAAGTAACTATATTTTATCATTCTGTTGGCCATTTTGGCCCACTTCTCTTTCCATCCCACAGGTGTGAGCATGCCTTGTGATTTCTATGCTCTTCCTACCTGGATTATGAGAGGTTCTAATAGCTTCTCCACTGTATGTGTCTGGATCTGGAAGTCCTGGGGTTTCATTTTCAGTTGGATCGGTGTCTCAGCTGACATGCTGCCTGTGCATAAGGACAAAAATAGACACACACACACACACACACACAATTATAAGAGAGTCAAAATAATTTCTGGAGGACAGGGCCAAGCTTAGGCAGAATCATAGAGGTGATAAAGTTTCATGGTAGCAACCCTTTCCCATTAACCCCACCCTCTCAACTCAATTCAACCCAACTCAACAAATGTGCATTATGTACCTGCTAATAGAAAGAAGAGGCAGAGCATTCTGTGATTTTAGCCACACCCTAAGTTATTTTAGGCACAAGCAGGGGTGTGTTGGTAAAATGGTAAAAACAACCAGCTCTCTGAGAAAGAAAATGTACTTCTGACATACTTCTAAGTTTAATATACATTAACATTTTCTTCATCACTTTCCAAAGTCTAGACAAGCAATAAAACAATAAATCAAGCCCTGATTTGTAATACTTGCTTATTTCAAAGGTATAAATTCTCACACTGAAAATTTAACAATCAGCTCTCAGTGCCAGTTAGGGCTGGCTCCAGGGTACCCCTGGACAAGGGGAAGCATTCATTTTCTCTAACGTGTAAACTTTTGCACCTTCAGTTCCATTAGTTCATGAATCATCCATGTGGACACTCCCTCCAAAGGTGCAAATCACATCCCCTCCATGCCTCTTGTCTAAGTCCTCCTGGAAATCCACTGGAGGAAGTCCACTCTCCATGCTGAGAACCTTCTTCTATATCTATTCACCGTGCAATAATGCTACCAGAACATGAGACCTCTCCATTGGCTATTTCTTACTCTGCCTACGAGATGGCAGACTCCCCTTTTGTGACCATCTACCACTCTGATACCTTTCACACCATTTTTTGTAAGCAGCCCCTTGTAACTAATACCACTGCAACCTCTTTAAGCAGTCAGTCTATCAGCATTTATTGAGTACTTACTGTGTGCCAGGCATTGTACTAGGCCCTGGGGATACAAAGGAAGTCAAAAGCATGGTGTGTGCCTTCAAGGAGCTCACATTCTAATGAGAGAGACAGCATGTAACAACCTGTACATATGAGATACATAGTATAAAAGGAAACTAATCTCATAAGGAATTCACTGGCTGGGGAGAGGGGGGAAGAAGGTCAGGAAACGCCTCTTGCAGAAAATATCTCTCCGTTAACTTTAGAGTGAACTGAGATTATGGTAGAGAATTGGCTATACCATTTAAAAAATTATCACGTATGGTATTTATTTTGTAAATGGTATCAAAAAACAAATACTAGTCAAACTTAGTCGTTGATAATATATAATGTGCAAGTATGTGAATGTATTTGTATACATATTTATCATTTCCTGGCATCCCCTCCCAAGCCTACTCTACCCTGGTCAGATGACACCTGGAAGAGTTGGTCATTTTCAAGCACTACATTTTTAAAGGATGTTAAGAGGCTGGAGAATAAGAGGAGAAACACCAAGGAGCTGAAGAGGCTTGGGTTCATGTCTCATGAAGATCTGTTGAAGCATTAGGGATGTTCCTCTTGGAGAAGAGAAGACTTAGCAGGGGAACTGATGACTCTCTTCCAGTATCTGAAAGGAGCTATAAGGTCCCAGGAAAGCAGAACTAGACTTGTCTTATTTGGTAGCAAAGCAGAAGGTGTCACTTGGGGTGAATCCTGAAGGAAGCCAGTGATTCTAAGAGGCAGAGGAGGTGAGAAGGGAGCATTCCAGGCATGAGGGACAGCCAGTACAAAGGCCTGGAGAAGTGAAATGGACTAGCATTGTGAGTGATGAGTAGCAAGCAGCCCTTATTATGACATCCCTGTTGTGAATCAGTCACCCGCCTAGGTGCTGTAAATAGACAAAATGCATGCTCTGAAAAAGAGGCCAGTTGGTCATGTGGAGAGACAAACAGTCCAAGTGCTGCATTTCAGAATGCTCAAAGATCCACAGCGAAACCTTCAGAGCATTAGGTAGACCCTCTTCAGAGTATTTGTAGACCGGGGATCACAAAACGATCATACAAAATAAGAAGGCACAGATGAGACCCTGAATCCCTCTCACGGCTAGTTTCCTATGGCATAACAAAAGCCAGTAACATTCCACACTGAGGCATTAAGGCCTCTTCCCCCTCCCAGAGTTCATCTTCCTTTTCTTTGGCTTTCTTTTAGACACTGAAACAGTATTCTTTTGTAGCCATGCAATGAAAATTCAGGACACATGCTTTCAAGGAGTCCGTAGATCTCAGGATGGAAGAGAGAGAGAGGTGGGATGGGATTTAATTTGATCTGTATTATCTGGCTTTGCTTAGTGATTTTTCTTGTTACAAAGGAAAGTTCAAAGAATCAGATTTAGCTCTAGAAAGCCCTTTATAGGCCACTGAGGCCACCCCTTTCATTTCAAAGAGATGAGAACACTAAGGTTCAGAGCAATTAAGTGATACTGCTCTCTCCTGATTCACCTCCTGCATCTCTGATCATTTCTTCTCGGTCTCCTTTCCTGGATCTTCAACTAGATCATGCCCACTAACCGTGGGTAAATCCCCACATTCTATCCGGGGCCTTCTCTTCTCCCTCTATCCTAATTCACTTGGGGACTCTCATTAGTTCCCATGAATTAAATTATTATTTCTATGCCGATCTCTTCAGATCTGCTTATCTAGCCCTAATCTTTCTCTTTACCTCCAGCTTCACATTCCTAATGGCCTATTGGATATCTCTAATTGGATATTTCATAGACACTTCAAACTTAACATGTTCAAAACTAAACTCATGCTGTTTTCCCCAGAACCCCCAATCTTCCTAACTTCCCTGTTACTGTTGAGGGTTCACCATCCTCCCAGTCACTCGGGCATTCAACCAAAGTGCCATCCTTAACTGCTTATTCATACCCTCATTTCCAATCCGTTCCCAAATCCTGTCAATTCATAGCATCTCTTTTATATGCTCCATTTTCTCCTCTGACACTGCCCCCAGCCTGGTGTAGGCCCTCAACACCTCATGCCTGGGCTGTGGCATTAGGCTTCTGGTTGGTCTCCTGCCTCAGGTCTCTCCACACTCCAATCCATCCTTCACTCAGCTATCAAACTAATCTTACTTAAATTCAGGTCTGACCACATCATCCCCCTCTTCAAAAAACTCCAGGGGATCCCTATTACTCCAGAATTAGACATAAAACTCTACTTTGGGTTTTTAAAGCCCCTCATAACTTGGCCCCCTCCTACCTTTCCAACCTTACTCCCTTCCATATACCCTGTGAACCCACGTCACTAGCTCCATTGGTGTTCCTCCATCCCCCAATTCCATGAATCTCCATGCCCGGAATTCTTTGTCTCCTCACCTCTGCCTTCTGCCTTCCCTCACTTCCTTCAAATCTCAGCTAAGTCCCCACCTTCTGCAAGAAGTCCTTCCCAACCCCCCTTATGCCTTCCTTCTCAGAGTATCTCCAATTCGTTCTATATACAGCTTATTTGTACATAGTTGTTTTCATGTTGTCTCCCCCTTGTCCCCATTAGTCTATGAGGTTCTTGAGAACAGGGATTGGTTTTGCCTTTCTTTCTATCCCCAGGGCTTACTACAGTAGCTGGCACATAGTAGGTGTTTAATAAATGTTTATTGATTTGCCCATAATCACATAGCTAGTAAGTGTCAGGGATGGGATTTGAACCCATCTCTTCCTGACTCCAATTCCAACATTCTAAATATTTTGTCATGCTGCCTCTCATAAGATTCTTTTGGGTTTGGGGCTGGCTATATATCAGTAAATACCTGGTGTTTTTTAAAGGTATCAATGAACATGTAATTGGGGGGGGGGGTAAAATATATTTTAAAAGTTATCAAAAAAATTTAAGTCCAAATTATTATGATTAAACTGGTATCCTTTGTTTATAGAGCTAAGATAGCTCCCAGAAACATTTCTTGGGTTAACATAATCCTGATGACTCTGTCATTCATCTCTACTCTTTTCAACCATTCTCAACTGAACTTCTATCCTCTGAGGATCCAGGATTTTATCAGTAGACATATGCCCTCCAACAACAACAGACCATATCTGGGGACAAGAGAGCAGGAGGATGATAGAGAGGAGGGCAGACTGGGAAAGGGAGTAATCAAAAGCAAATACTTCTGAAGAGGGACAGAGTCAAAAGAAAGAATAGAATAAATGGGGGGGCAGGATAGGATTAAGGGAAATAGAGTTAGTTTTTCACAACATGTCTACTATGGAAGTGTTTTGCCTAACTGCTGCTTGCCTTTTCAATGAGGGTGGGTGGAGAGGGAGGAAGGGAGAAAATTTGGAACCCAAAGTTTTAAAAACACATGTTTAAAAAAATGTTTTCACATGCAACTGGGAAATAAGAAATACAGAAATGGGGCACAGAAATCTATCCTGCCCTACAAGAAAATAGAAGGGAAAGGAGATAAGAGAAAGCGGGGGAGAGATAGAAGAAAGGGCAGACTAGGGAAAGGGGTATTCAGAATGCATGCCATCTTGGGGTGGGGGAGGGGCAAGATGGGGTGAAAATTTGGAACTCAAAATCTTGTGGAACTAAATGTTGAAAATTAAAAATAAATAAATTTATATTTAAAAAAAAAAGCACAGACCCTTTGCATCTTAGACCAGCATTTTCCAGAAGGGCTGTAACAGACAAGTTCATCAATCCCTGGCCAGCTCTTTCAAGACTTAAGCTAGTCTACAGATAGCAGAAATCCAACATTCATCCACACTCAAAGCCTTTCTGGCTTAGTAGTATCACCTGTACTTGTTCTCCCCTAAGATTGCCTTCAAGTACTCAAAGTCACTTCTACATCAGACTGAAGAGTCAAATGACTTCAGTAAATTCTAAAACCATGTAGAAACCCCATAGCAACCTTTCTTCTTGGGGTTTGCCAAGAACCAACAACCTGTGTAATAAGATAAGCTCTAGAACTATAACCTCAGAATACACCCACACACAATCACACACACACACACACACACACACACACACATACAATCACACACACAGAATGTATATATACATATGTAAATGTATATCTGTGCACATATATGTAT